AATCCACTCTACAACCCTCATTGCATACTCCTACGATAAAAATAATGCCCTAAAATATAATACTTTTAGACTATTCTCTCCCCCATAGACTCTTGTGTGTGTGTGTGTGTGTGTGTGTGTGTGTGTGTACTGTCAAATCTGATCTGACTAGTACAGGAGAAGATTGTCCCTCCTTCTCCAGCAGAGCATCTGGTGGATTCGAACCGCTCACCTCTGCAATTGCAGTGTAAATTCCCTCTTACTTAGCATGCCACTATTCTGACTCACAAATGACAGAAAATTTGGATTCATGGAAGTAAAAGGTAAGTGTGGATAGGGTGCTCTTCTTTATTTTGTTTCCGCCCAGATATATTTCTATTTCTTTTCTCTCTCTCTCTCTCCATTTGTTTGAGTAACCACCCTTTCCCCACTCTCAGTCTATGGAGGTCAATTATGAACATATGATCTAATCAGAATCGTTTTCTTTTATACATAATGATTGGGCCCGGATTTATAACCCAGTGAGGTTCAATTCTGGGAGTTTTGTCACAAGTGCTAGAAAGAGAGACACTTGGAATTAGAAATCTGTAAGGTAGAAGCTGCCAGGAGGCAGCAATGTTGTTGTTGTTATTAGGTGCCGACAAATTGAGTACGGCTCACAGTGACCCTTTGAACAGTAGATCAGAGCCCTGTTTTATCCTGTGCCATCTTCACACTTCCTGACACACTCAAGCCTATCACAGCAATCACTATGTCAATCCATCTGGTCAATGTTAGTCTGGACAAAGAGGGCCAAAGAGAAGAATGAAGAATTAGAACTCAAATGCTAATGGCCTTGCTTGTTGCAGATAAGAAGCGAAAACAGCCTTGCCTGTCTGGCTAAGCTAGCAGGTGGCTCATAAATCATAGTGGAATGTCCCTCGCTAAAGACTCCGTTTATAAAAATCCTCCCCAGTAAGTTCACAGTGTGACTTCCCATTCTGCCTCTCCAGGATGAGGAACTCACCCGGGAGCTCCCTTTCCCCCCTTTAATAAAGCTGCATTAAGCTTTCTCTTGTTCTCTCTGATTTCTTCTTTAAGTCCACTAACCTAACCTAACAGTCAACAGTTTCCACCTCCTTCACTGATCCCCCACCCTGCCAAGCATCATGTCCCTCTCTGAGGACTAGCTCCTCTTAGCAACACGCCCAAAGTATGTGAGGCTAAGCTTCATTGTCTTTGCCTCCAAAAAGGACTCTGGTTGCACTTTTCCCAAGGCATATCTCTTTGTTCTTTTGGCAGTGCATGGGATGTTCAGTGCTCTTCTCCAACACTACAACCCAAAGGCATCAATTCTTCTGTCATCCCTATTCATTGCCCATTGGTAATTGTACCAATTAGAACATTGGTAATTGAACCAATTAGAACATTGTTCTAATTGTTATAGTGTGGGAAGCCAAATGTCAAACCAAATGCTTAATCGGGAATTGAAGGAAGCACCAATACAAGCTGGAATTCCTCTTGCAGCAGATCACAAGGGATGAGCTGCTGTTTGCCACTAGGCCACCAGAGCTCCTTTGCAGAGAGAGTGCTAAGAGCTTTTGCTTCCTGTAGACAAGAAGCTGCCAGGGCCCCTTGCAGAGGGAGTGTTAAGAGTCCATACTTGTGAACTACTTCCTTCCTGAGCTGAGCATAAGGTTGACAATAGGGAAAAACTCCATTTGCAAAAGAATTCTCTTTGTGATTTACTTCCTGGTGATTCTCAATAAAGTCACAGAGAAGCTTGGTTCAGCACTTCAATCTTCAAGCTGTTTGACCCCTTCCTTATGCTGGTTTTTTCCATTCTTGGTGTCCCAGTCTCACTATTTCTCTATGTTCCAGATGACAAAAGCACATCACTTGTCAGTTAGTTTGCTGTACTGAGATAACTTGTCTTTGCTGTGAAACTGAAAGCTGTGCCACTGGCATGTCAAATGCCATATAGGTTATCCATAGTGGACAGGCTTAAGTAGAGCTCCTAGATTAAGACAGACTAGGAAGCAGGATTGGCTATCCACTTCTTAAATAACAGGACTTTGAAAAACTTTTGAACACTAGAGGAGTGAGCAGTAGAGAAGACACTGCAATAGGGAGGAGGAAGAATAGCTAGGTAGGGGATAGAAAGAGGGGTAAAATCCTGAAGAAACTGTTTAGACACCTGAATCAAGCCTTGCCTGAAAGCCACTAATCTGGATCTTAAATCAGTAGAGCCTTTTCTTCCATTTCAATGCATTTGAGTTGGATGCCTGTCATCTGTAAATTAATAAGAAGAATTCTGACTTTTGCAGACAGAAACATTTGTGTAAACAGTGTGTAAGTGCTATAAAGACTAATTGCTATGCTCTATTGTAGATTATTCTTTTATAACATGGCATTTGGACTTTTACTTCCTTATATCCTAAAACTAGTTATTCATTTATACGGGTACTATCATGGCCTTATAAATCAAATCTAAGCTATGGCTTCCAACAAGCTAAGTGATGTCTACTAAATTCAGGTAATTGGGAAGAGTTACAACTATATAACCCAAGAGAAATAAACTTAACTGTCAAAAAGCAACAAGAACATTCATTGCACCTTTCCCTTCAAAATAAGCCCAAACTCGGAAAAAATTCTACAGCTCAACAACAACAAAAATAACAACAACTCACTGCTGTTAAGTCTGAATTGACTCATACTTGACCCTCCAGGGGGTTTTCAGAGGTTCTAAATTTCATGGGAGGAGACGGCTCATCTTCCTCCTGTGGAGCAGCTGGTGGATTTGAACACCAGCCTTGGGTTGGCAGCAAAATGTCTTATACCCACCAGACCATCAGAGGTCCCTTAGAACAAATAAACTGTGGCTGTTGATCAATTCTACAACAACATATTACACAGCAACAACAAAGACTTAATACAACAGCACAGATGAATCTAACACAATGATGAATGAAAGAAGTCAGACATCAAAGATTACATACTGCATAGCATGTATACAAAGTTCAACATGAGGAAAACAAATGTTGTTGTTGTTATGTGCCGTCGAGTCACTTGCGACTCATAGCGACCCTGTGTACATAACAGCTCTAAACTCTGCCCTGTCCTGTGCCAATCGCACTGTCTCTGACACTCCCATCCCAATTATCCCAGTCACTGAATCAATCCACCTCACAGAGGGTCTTCCCCTTCTGCGCTGTCCCTCCACCCTCCCAAGCATGATGTCCCTCTCCAAGGACATGTCCAAAGTATGTTAGACGGAGCCTCAGAATCCTTGCCTCCAAGGAGTCACCCAGTTTAACCTTTTCTAGGATGAATCTGTTTGTTTTCCTAGCAATCCATGGTATTCTCAGTACTCTTCTCCAGGACCACAGCTTAAAGGCATCAATTCTCCTTCTATCCTCCTTGGTCATTGTCCAACTCTCTGATGTATAACAAGTGATTGCAAAGACCATGGCCTGTATCAGACGCACCTTAGTCTCCAGAGAGACACCATTGCTCTTCAGTACTTTGGAGAGGTCCCTAACAGCAGACTTTCCCATCGCAATATGTCTTTTAATTTCCTGACTGCTGGTGCCAAGAGTGTTGATTGTGGAACCAAGCAGACTAAAGCTGTGAACAATCTCTATCTCGTCACCATCCATCCTGATGCTGCCAATTGGCCCAGTGGTGAGAATCTTTGTCTTCTTGACATTGAGTTTTTTGGAAG